TTTGAAACTGTCTCATTGCTATTTGTTTCTCAATGAAATTATGGAAAAAAAAAGATTGAATCATATTCATTTGTATGTATATATTACATTTTATTTATCCATTCATCTGTTGATGGATACATGGGTTGTTTATTTTTATTTTGTTTTGTTTTTTACATGGGTTGTTTTACCTCCTGGCTCATGTAAGCAATGCTTCTATGAACATGGATGTGTGAGTATTTCTTCAAGACTCAGCTTTTTTTTTTTTTTTTTTTTTTTTTTTTGACAGAACCAGGGATTGAACTCAGGCCTTTGCGCTTGCCAGGGAAGCGCTTATTCCACTGAGCCATCTCCCCGGCCCAAGACTCAGCTTTTAATTCTTTTTGGATATATACCCAAAAGTGGAATTGCTCGATCATATTGTAATTCTAAGTTTAACTTTTTGAGAAATGACTGTACTATATTCTGAAAGCCTTCACCATTTTATACTCTGACCAGCAATAAATAAGGGTTTCAATTTCCCCATGTCTGTTTCAACACTTTTTCTGAAATAATATCTGTTTTAATGGGAACAGAGGCATCTTACTATGTTAGGAATCATTTTTCTGCCTGAAATGTGTGGGATATCAGTTAAGATCAGATTGAATGTATATGCTATTTTTTGGTTAAGTATATACATAGTACAGAAAAGAGAGGTAGTGCAATTTATAGTGGGCTATTTTAATCAAAGTTTTTATACCTGGATAAAATTGTAGAAATTTACTTTATTCTTTACTTATCTGTCTTGTTTTTTCCTTAATAATCACATTTTGCCTTAAAATTAGGAAAGAGTAAGTTAGTTTTTTATTTCAATTTATTCAAATCCACAAGTCAGTTGCTAAGAAGTAGGTCTTATCACACCTCAAGAAAATAAAAGCTGTGTTAATTTACTCTTTGGTGTTTGGTCTCCATGACTTGGTGATTATATATAATAGACACCAGCTGCCACTCAGAAACTCAACAGCCAGGTGCCAAGGAGCACCCCTGTACCCTAAGAGGTAAGCAAGCATTTGAACATGGTGAGGGCACTGTGCCAAAAATAGTGAGGCAGTCTTGTCTGACTGATGGGCACTGGGTAATGTTTCTATCTTTGCTCGTCTATGCTATCTGAATTCTCTGAAACAAACTACTGTCTTGTTACACACCTGTAATCCGAGTTCTTGGGATACTGAGGCAGGAGGATTGTAAGTTCAAGGCCAGCATGGACTGTGTAATAAGACACTGTCCCTATAAATAAACACAAAAACCAAATTCTCAAAAATATGTTGTTGGGGGACCAGGGAGATGGCTCAGTGGAATAAGCGCTTCCCTGGCAAGTTCAAGGGCCTGAGTTCAATCCCCAGTTCCGCAAAAAAGAGAAAAAAAGGTTGTTGGTCTAATAAAGGGGAGATATTAAAAAACAAGAGGATAGTAAGAAAAGATCAGAAGCAAATAAAAGAACAAGGGAAACAGGTGTGGACTGCTGTGAAGCTTAGGACTTGTGTTGATTGTTAATTCCATGGGGAACCATGTGTGTAGTTCTGGAACAGTGTGGTATCAGCTGTGTTTCTGGCTCCACACTGGTACAGTATCTTACTTCCTAGAAGGAGTGGAAAAGAGTATAATAGGCGACAGGTGAAAGCACCCAGGAATGTGCCTTGTCAGGACTAGGTACAGGTTAGAGATAAACAGTGAAATGACTCTGCAAGGCTGTAGGGTTGTTACGTTGACTGATTCATTCTTATCCCACGAGGTCCTCTTCTCTTCTCTTCTCTTCTCTTCTCTTCTCTTCTCTTCTCTTCTCTTCTCTTCTCTTCTCTTCTCTTCTTTTCAAGACAAGGTCTTGAACTTATTCATAGACCAGGGTATGAATACCTTAGGTCTATATCTTATCTCAAATATGCTCCTTGCTCCCACTTTTCACCATGATAGATGGCTGTTTTGCAGTCCGAGTAAATAGAAATTCTTTATATTTGTGACACTTGGGATGAAGCAAGGCCTGATGACCTAGTTATGTCCCTAGTATTGGCGGCATTTATAGCTGTGCACAGGTGCATACAGAGTCCTTCTTTATTCCCAGGGCTCATCAACTTCTTTGGCCCCTTGTCCATGGAGGCCTCTCTGGAACTCAAAGAAATCCTTCTGCTTTAGTCTCCCTAATGCTGGGATTATAGACATGTGCTACTACACTTGCTCCTACAGGGTTCTTAGTAAGATAATATTAAGCCTCATCATAGTTCTTTCCAGTAGTTGGTGCAGTGACATACACCTGTAGTCCTAGCTACTAGGGTGGCTGAAACAAGAGGATTGCTTAAGCACAGGAGTTCAGGGCAGCCTAAGGAACATAACAAGGCCCCATCTATTAAAAAAAAAAAAAAAAGAATAGGCAGCAGGAGTAATGGTGTGTGCCTGTAATCCCAGTACTCTGGGAGGCTGAGACAGAAGATTTCAAATTCAAGCTCAGCCTGAGCAATTTAGCAACTTAGTGGGACCCTAGGTTTAACCTCCAGTACTACAAAAAGTATATATAAAAAGTAAAATTACTTCCAGGAATGTTTGTTTTTTAAGCATTCATAATTTTTCCTTTAACTCAATAGCCAGACTAGTGAACACAAATGTGATTTGTTACTTGCAGATACATTTCTGACTTCCTTGTCTTATTAAAGGATAGCTTGATATTCTTGACCCTTCACATTGATCTTGCCATAGATAACCTTATAAAAAATGTGATTGCTTAAGCACTCAACAGGTTGTGGAGTAATCCCAGGCCTCAGAATTACTTAGATGCCAATCTACAGCATTATGGGCCAAGCCAGCTCTGCCACTGGGAGGACTCTTACACAAAGGGCCTCAGATGACTTGCTGCTTCCACTGTGGAAACATGATATGGTCAGCACCCCATGAGCATTGGTTCCAGAGCTTCACCCTACCCTAGGGAGCATGGGTGAGCAATTGCTATTAAAAAGTTATTATCACCCTCAGGCTTTCTCACTGAAGTTGCTGTTTCACAGGTTGCAGATGCCATCCTTGGAAATCAGATGTTTACACATTACGATCGGGCGCACATTGCCCAGCTCTGTGAGAAGGCAGGTCTCCTTCAGCGAGCACTGGAGCACTACACTGACCTCTATGACATCAAAAGGGCTGTGGTCCATACTCACCTCCTCAATCCTGAGGTATAGTATATCAGTGGCACACTTCCGATATAGCTAGTGTCTGTGTAGTCCTTTGTGTTACATGCTGTCAGTATCTATTTGGGATTTTAGGGACATGTGTGGACCTGGCATGCTTTTCTTCCAAGAGTTTAGACAGACCTCACCTTCCCAGCAGTGTGTTTAGGCCTTATGTCATTTCCCCCCAAATTCCCAACTCTGACTTAGTCTAACAAGGAATAGAGATAATATTTTAACATTGACAACATGTTAGCACTTCTGAAACCATTAGCAAAAGCTAGACTATCTTTTGTGTTTCCATTTACCAAATAGCTTTGGTATCAATTATGAACTATTGAAGAATGAATAGTTGGTTGGGTGTTTTGTTGTTGTTTTTCTGTATTTAGAACAGTGTCTACAGGGTCTACAGGTCTGTAGGGTCTCACCACATAGATCAGACTCATAGTGATCCTCCTGTTTTTAGCCTCGCAAGTGCTGGGATTATAGGTGCACGCCACCACACCCAGCCTCAAGTGCTGTCTGAGCAGGCACTGGGGGCGGGGCCAGCACAGCAGGCCAGGGATCAAACCCTGGCCTGCTGTGCTATGCCTAAGCAGGCGCTTTAGTTTGCTGAGCTATCAGGCCGGCCCTAAGAATGAATAATTTAGATCTGTATCTTATCGAAGTGTACTCCTTGCTCCCACTTTTCGCCGTGATAGTTGATTGCTTTTCAGTCTGGTTAAGTAGAAATTCTTTACATTTATGACATTTGGGATGGAGCAAGGCCTGATGACCTAGTAATGTCCCTAGTGTTAGCATTTACAGTTGTGCACAGCTGCATACAGACTCCTTCTTTATTCCTAGTGGCTCATCAACTTCTTTGGCTCCTTGTCAGTGGAGGACTCTCTGGAGTGTCTTCGTGCCATGCTGTCTGCTAACATCAGACAGAATCTTCAGCTGTGTGTGCAGGTGGCCTCCAAGTACTATGAGCAGCTGGGCACACAGTCCCTTGTGGAGCTCTTTGAATCCTTCAAGAGTTATGAAGGTAAACTGTGCAGCTTCCCCACCTTTCTGCTGCACTTGCTTTCCTAGATCCCACTAGCCACTCAATCAAGGGAAGACTGTTACTACTATTTCATACATATTACTGAACATAAGTAACCCTCTCAGGTGTGTCCACAGAAAGAAATCAGATTGGTTTGCATTGGGGTAGGGAGACTTAGAATCTCCCTTTTATACCTGAAGTCTCTGTGAAGCCATGTGTCGCTGCAGCATAGTCTAGCATATAATTTATTTCAAATCCTGTACTGCTTGTCCTGGGTACTAGTAGAAGGGGATGCTGCGTGATATGGGCAGACCTGAGAGGGCAGCTCCTTTGTTGTCTTCTGAGTAACAACACAGAGCAGGGACTGTCACTTTGTGGTATGTGTTCAGAAGTTACCTTTTCCTTCTGTGGGCATCACATAAGAAAGAGTGCTGCACGTGGAGTGGCTTCTTTAGGGACAGATTAAGTCTGTTTTGAGGAACCAAGGCAGAGCTTCATGTGGATAAAGAGGTGTAAGTGGGCCACGGGTACTGGGATGTGGAGCAGGGTCATTGTAGCCTCAGTCATCAAGGGAAGGTGGGCAGTGGTCATGGAGAAGACAGGTAAATGCTAAGAGGGCAAACGTGAAGCAATCTCTCTTTATAGGGCTCTTCTGCTTCCTGGGCTCAATTGTGAACTTTAGCCAAGACCCAGATGTGCATCTGAAGTACATTCAGGCTGCCTGCAAGACAGGGCAAATCAAGGAGGTGGAAAGGATATGTCGTGAGAGCAGCTGCTATAATCCAGAGCGGGTGAAGAACTTCCTTAAGGTGCGTCCAGTAACACCTCCCTCCACAATGTGTTCTCACAGGTAGCAGAAGTGGGCATACCTTAGCTAACTGTCCTAAGAGGCAGAAATCTGGGTTTGTCCAGGCAGTGTTTCCTTAGTTTCTAGTGCAGAGCTCCACCTAAAGTCTAAGGTCCTTAGAAGAAAAAAAACATTGTTTAAAAAAAGCAGCAAGTTGTCTGTGATTTTGTTATCCAGTGCATGAATGGAGGGAGTTGCTGCATTGTATTTCAGCAGTATCCCTAGTGTGTCCCTGTTGATTAGCATCAGGGAGATGCAGGAAAAATGAGACCATTCAGTACTAGAGCCATGAAGGACAAGAAGTCTGCTTGCTTCCCATGCAGCATTCCTGGGTGGCCATTTAAATGAGTGGGACACCTGTCCTGGCTCATCCTTCGAACAGAAGGCATGTGGATGTTTAGCCATCTTATGCAGTGTATCTTAAAGGTTGACTTCATGATAACTGGAAGAAGGAAAAAGTACAGAGTAATACTATAGATGGTTTTAATAGCTGAGGCCTGAAGTTTGCAGGTGTTACTTTTATTCATGTTCTCTTAGAGAGCATGTATTTTCAGGGATCCTGAAAAATTTAGTCTATGTATGAGTTCAAACAGGGGGAGATGTGATAGTGGTGGCCTGCTGGCTTTTTCCAACAAGGTACCATTCTGATCTGGGGACTGAGTCTTCACAGAGGGCACCCCCTGCCATCCCAATTTGGGACTGCTCTCTGGGTAGTTCAGGCTTTCTGTTGTGTTGTAGTTTTTGTTGTTGTTGTTTTGTTGAAACAAGGTCTTGCTTTACAGTTTGGCAGACCTTGTACTCACTACACAGCCCAGGCTGGCCTTAAACTTGCAATAATCCTTCTGCTTCAGCCTCCCAAGTGCTGGAATTATACCTGTGTACCAGCACACCTGGCTAGGCTTTCTGTTCTTTGGGCATACCTGGTCTGTGCTGGGCTGTACATAGTAAGCTGCTTGTCTTAACTCAGTGATGGTGAACCTTCTAGAGCTTTTAGCGATACAAACAGCCTGCTGAGGTACACATGCCATAAATTTACAAACACTGTCTTAACCCAAAAGATATTGGATTTATACAAATTTGGAAAGTTACCGTCAAATTTAAGAAAGTTCACTTTTTAACCAAATACTATTGCCACTTATTTCCCAAAGTAAACACTGTAGCCCCGAGTTGCATGCCTTAGTTGCCAGCTATGGCATGATCCTTATGCCCACAAGAGCTTTGTTGCATAGACAGTGCTATCCCGTGTCAGTGTGTGACCCTGGGGCTGACTCTACGGGGCCCTTGCTACCTTACCTGTTTTCTGTGCCCTCCAACCCCCAGGAGGCCAAGCTCCCAGACCAGCTGCCACTCATCATCGTATGCGATCGCTTTGACTTTGTCCACGATCTTGTACTCTACTTGGACCGCAACAGCCTGCAGAAGTACATTGAGGTTTATGTCCGGAAGGTACTGTGGGTGGGCCACGTGGGCTTCCCAAATGTGTCTGCAGTCTGCTGCTTACCCCTGAATATTTCACAGACTGTCACTTTTTTTTTTCCATAATTTTATTGATGAACAAATAGCAATGAGACAGTTTCAAATCAAATTGGTAGGACAGTTTCAATAATTAACACATTGCATACATTCTTCCTAGTGGTTAATTGCTGTACAAGAATTTTTTTTTTTTTTTTTTCAGAAGCAGGGATTGAACTCTGACCATTGTGCTTGCCAGGGAAGCACTTATTCCACTGAGCCATCTCCCCGGCCCCCCCAGACTGTCACTTTGAAGAACAATATATTAATCTTCTCAGGCTGCGAGAATAAAATGCCACAGACTATGTGACTTAAAGGACAGAAATTTATTTCTCAAAGGCCAGAAGTTCAAGAATAAGTTACTGGCATGGAAGGGTTTTAGGCTTGCAAATGGCCACCTGAGCACTCTGTTCTCACAGGGCCTTTCCTCTATGCACATGTACTTGTTGTTTTCTTTGTGATATGGGAGATCAAAACTCATGTACTTCTTATAGGGATGCTAGGCCTATTGGAATTATGACCCCACCCTCAGCATTAGTTATATCTTTAATAGCCACATCTCATCTCCAAATATTATCTTATTGGAGATTAGGGATTTGACATATGTAGTTTGGTGAAACAAAGTTCAGTTCTAAACAGATTTTGCCCACAGTGTCCAAGTCTTAGGGGCCTTGTACCAATGTTCTGTGGTTGCAGCACTAAAATTCTCACCTCAGGGCCAGGGAGATAGCTCAGTAGAATAAGTGCTTGCCTGACAAGTGCAAGGGTCTGAGTTCAATCCCAGGATCCTCAAAAAAATAAATAAAATGGAATAAAATTCTCACCTTGACTGTTCTAGGTTAACCCTAGCCGGCTCCCAGCTGTGGTTGGAGGGCTGCTTGATGTGGATTGTTCTGAAGAAGTAATTAAAAACCTGATTGTTGTGGTAAGAGGACAGTTCTCTACTGATGAATTGGTGGCTGAAGTAGAAAAAAGGAACAGGTAGGGTATCCTTACTTGGTGTCTTCTCTTACATCTGGATTCTGGTGTTTATTGTCTGTGTTTCTCTTAAGCTGCAATCATCTGGGTCTCTAGGCTCTAGTACTGTCTCTGTAGCTGGTCTTTCATGTGTACATTGTAGGTCAAGGATCATTGTTGGGTTAAGAAATGCTACTGGTGCTAAAGACCCTGATGAAAAACAACAGTCGAAATCAATTTGGAACCCATGTCTCTCCTGATCCCTGGAACAACCTAAACTTAATGGAGTGATACTTTGTTTCATTTCATTTCATTTTGTTTTAAGAATCACCTCATAATACTGGGCATGGTGGTGCATACCTGTAACCCCAGAGTTTGGGAGGCTAAAAACAGGAGAATCACTATGAGTCTGATCTGTGTAGTGAGACCCTGTAGACTGTACTAAAATACAAAAAAAAAAAGAAAGAAAGAAAGAAAGAAAGAAAGAAAAGAAAGAAACAAAGAAAGAAACAAAGAAAGAAAGAAAGAAAGAAAGAATCACCTGATAAACTGGGCATACTATCATGTTCCTATAATTCCAGCTACCTGGGAGGCTAAGGCAGAAGAGTCATAAGTTTGAAGTCACCTTGACCAACTTATACTGTCTTAAAATTAAATTTTAAAAAAGAATATAACTCCTGCCTAGCATGTAGGGCCTCTGAATTTAATCCCTAGTAATACCTCTCACCCCAAAATTAACCCTCAGAACCTAGGGATTACCCTGAAGTTTCCAGTGGTAGTCTTGAGACTTCTATATTATTTGCTTTCATTCAAAGGCTGAAGTTGTTGCTTCCCTGGTTGGAGTCCCGGATGCATGAAGGCTGTGAGGAGCCTGCCATTCATAATGCATTGGCCAAAATCTACATTGACAGCAACAACAACCCTGAGCGCTTCTTGAGAGAGAATGCCTATTATGACAGCAGTGTGGTAGGCTGGTACTGTGAGAAGAGGGACCCGCATCTGGCCTGTGTTGCCTATGAGCGGGGAAAGTGTGACCTTGAGCTCATTAAGGTGGGCAGCAAATGTGTTTGTATGCTTGACTGTCCATGTTGTTCTGGACTCATGGTACAGGCATCTAATGTGTTCCTAGGGGGGCTGACCAGGTCTTTCTATATACCCAAAGTTGGAAGGACATAGGTACTTTTCCATGCATTTGGTTGCTTTGTAATCCTGACACTTTTATGACCTGCTTATGGTCCTGTGGGCTTATTTGGCCCTTAATTTGACTTATCCCTCTCGACTTAGTGTCCTCAATATTACCTGGGAACTTTAGAACAAAATTGAACTCTGTAGCCTGACCCAGAACTTCCTCTGGGGACTCTCCTTCCCCACATTGACTCAGTCAGCTTCTTTTCGTGCTACCACACCTAGAGTGGTCTGCATTCCCCCACTACTTCTTGTCCCAAGGACCCCCTAAAAGACAACTCACGTGCCCTCCCCATCTCTTCCCACCTCATCCCTCAGGCCATTGATGGCCTCAAAACATTTGCCAAGTCTCCTGCCAACATCTTCCCAGGTTGGATCTGCATGTACATAATTATGAGTGTAGGTTGAGCCATATGAACTATTGGTGCTTAACCATTGAAGATAAAAATCTAGAAAGCATGTGGTTGAATCTAATGTTTGTTGAGCTGTAAGCTCCTGGTATGTATTTACCTGTTTGTCCCTAGCACCTCTGAGCCTTTGGTAAATACTCAGCAGCCAGCTATGGCATATGTTAGGTGTGCATATAGAAAGTAGAAGATAGAAAAGAATTATCAGCTTCTCTTTCTGCCCCAGTTCTTAGACAGAATGACAAGAGGGTTGAGTCAACATAGCCCCTCACCTGGCAGGCTCTGAGGAACTAGTTTTTATAAAGCTGGAATTTTTCCTTAGTTTGAAACCATTAAACCACTTTTTGGCTTTTTGTCACCTTTTTATTAAAGTGCTGTTTAGTGACCTCTATGAGATCTTAGCACTCATCTGTGCTATGAGGCAGTATGTTCTTTTGGTAAAATCAAGTTTAACTGGATGAGAGGTGTTCATTCAAGTCTTTTCTGTCCAAGAGAGGACTGTGATGTGCAGTAGGCACTATGCCAGCCCGCTCTTGCCTCCTGTCTTGTACACACAGGCAGCCCATGTTACCTTTTTAGACACACAAATCACTCAACCCTGTATCTGGTCCTCAATGGGTATGATTCCCACCAAGACTTAGCAAATGCCTCACACATTGAAACATCCTTGTGGATAACTGACAGCTTAAAGACAACAATATTCAGAGAAGGATCTCAAAATCAGTTAGTGAAAGCACATTTTAAATTTCATAGGCCTTGAAGCATTGCAGTATGTGTGCTGTTTTATATCTGTTCTGGGCTATTGTGATAACACTTTAGAGACAGGTTGGAGCTAGCTACATGTGAATACTTAAAATAAAAATTTAGTTCCCGGGGCTGGTGAGATGGCTCAGTGGTCTAAAGCACCTACTTAGAGCAAGCTTAGCAAAGCACAGGGACCACGGTTCAATCCCCAGCACCACATGCCAGCCAGCCCCGCCCCCTGGTGGGCTGAGCTGCGCGCGTGCACACACACACACACACACACACACACACACAAATAAAATTTAAAAAAAAAAAGATTTATGGGGCTGGAGAGATGGCTCAGTGGTCTAAAGCACCTACTTGAAACAAGCTTGTCAAAGCACAGGGACCGCGGTTCAATCCCCCAGCACCACATGCCAGCCAGCCCCGCCCCCTGGTGGGCTGAGCTGGCCACACACATACACAATAAATAAATGTAATAAATAAATAATTTTTAAATAAATAAATAAATAAATAAGATTTAAATAATAAAAAAATATTTAGTTCCCAACCAAATCATAACTCAAATCCTTGGGAGCTTTCTATGGCTCCTGATAGTGACTCAGCACAAGATTCAGAGTATGTCCATCATCATAGAAGGATAATGGCTGGGGTCCTGCAGACTTAGAAAGGGGCATTCTGAGATACTTTGAGGAGTACAGTGTTAACAGTATAAGATGCTGTTCATCACTTTTAAAGCACAACATCTCGTCTGGGTTCCAGCTATCCATACAAGTAGCAGGGAGAAGTTAGTCACTGAGGTGTGCAACCATTGTCTGCTTGGAGTTACACACTAGTGTGCTCATTTCAGGTTTGCAATGAAAACTCTCTGTTCAAAAGTGAGGCCCGATACCTGGTACACAGGAAGGACCCTGAACTCTGGGCCCATGTCCTTGAGGAGACCAACCCATCTAGGAGACAGCTGATTGACCAGGTAAGACACAGAAGGGAATGTGTGTATGCTTGTATTGTGCCTACTACTTCTCTTGTGGCTCCAGTGACTGACTTATTCTTACATTTAAATATCTTATAGCTATTAACAAACCTTCTTCCCTGCAGAAGTAGCTTGCCTAGAAATGGCTCAATTGTCAAGGGTGCTCTAATTTGAAGTTGTTATTGGCTTAAGGTATAGAGTTGGCTCTTATATCCAAAGCAGGGTTTGGCAGCCCCTTAGAGAACAAGATTGGATGATGTGCCTGCATACTGGATTCTTGAGGTTGTTTTTTGTTTGTTTGTTTTTTAGCTTAGCCTACTATTGATAGAAGTTAAGTGGCTCTAGGGGCCGGGGAGATGGCTTAGTGGAATAAGCGCTTCCCTGGCAAGCGCAAGGGCCTGAGTTCAATCCCTGGTTCTGCCAAAAAAAAAAAAAAAAAAAGAAAAGAAAAAAAAAAGAATTAAGTGGCTCTTAACATGTCTCAGATGACCTCTCATCTAATCACATTTTGTGACTGTCCAGTACTTCATTAGAACTGAATGTAGTGCTGGAACTACAACAGATATGGACATGCAAATGGGACTATGCAAAAAAGGGGGTGCAGGGAGATGGCTCAGTGGAATAAGCACTTCCCTGGCAAGCACAAGGGCCTTAGTTCAATCTCCCTCTCCCCCTGTCCCTCTCCCTCTTTCTGTCTCCCTCTCCCTCTCTCCCTCTCCCTCTCCCTCTTTCTCTCTTCCTCTCCTTCTCCCTCTCTTTCTCCCTCTCCCTCGCTCTTGCTCTCCCTCACTTCCGCTCTCTGTCACTCTTTATTTTTCTCTCTCTCTTTTGAGACAGGGTCTCGCTGTGCAGTTCAGGCAGGCCTTGCACTCACTTTGTAGCCCAGGCTGGCCTCAAACTCACAATGATCCTGCCTCAGCCTCCTGAGTGCTGGGATTACAGGCATGTGCCACCATTCCCAGCATGCCATAAATTTTAATAAAATTTTTGTTTTGAAATATTTTTAGATTTACAGAAGTCTATATTGTTTTCAGTCTCTATTATATCAACATCAGAATTAAAACAACTTGAGGACTGACTTGAAAGTTTAATAACCTTCATCCAGACCTAAAAACATTAAACAAAAGGCTAGGGACAGAGTCTGCTGAGTTTCTCTAAGAATCTACCTCCAAGTTCACAGGCACCAGACATGTCCAGGTATGATCCAGCCAACAGGTACCCCCTATAGCTGACCTTGTATTGGCCCTCGGGGAAGGCGGCTTTAACACTGCACCAAAGTACAGCCAGTGGGACTTGTCTTGTTTTTGTGTGACCCTGCTGAGTTGGTCATTAAGTCAGCTCTAATTGATCATCTAGCCACCTCCTGGTGGGATACTCTGTTTCACTATCCCTCTGATTGGGAGCACACAACAGAGGCAGACTGCTTTCAGTGTCTGGAATAAATCCTTATATAAAATGTACTTAGAGAAAGCAGTGTCCTGAGATAACCTTAGGTTGAATATCTGTATTGACTTAAACAGAAGGTAGAAATGTAGTTATGCCCTTAAGACAACTTGTTATGCATGATGGTTGTTTTTTCTTTTGAAACAGGGTCTCACTATATAGTTCAGGCTGGCCTTGAGCTCATGATGTACCTCAAACTCATGGCAATCCTCCTGCCTCAGCCTTACATGTGCTGGGATTGTAGGTGTATGCTGCTATGCCTGGCTGGTTTTTGAGGTGTTCCCCAAGCTGGTCTCAAATTTTTAGAAGGTCAAGTCCAACCTGGGGTACATCACAAGACTCTGTCTCAAAACAAACAAAAAGCCAAAATCAAGTTCCCAAGAGTTCTCATGCTCAAAGAGTTCTCCTGTCCCATCTTCCCAAATAGCTGTGACCACAGGTACAACCAGCTCCGTATCTGTTTAAACTGCTGTAAAGCTACATAAGTTAAATAAATAAGGTTTTCTGTTTGTTTTGGTTTTTGGTTTTCATTTATTTGGTTTTGGTTTTGTTTTTTTGAGGCAGTGTTACTGTATCCATCAGGCTAGACGAATCACATGATCAGATGATACTCCTACCTCAGCCTTCTGAGTGCTGGGTTTACAAGGTGTGCCACCATGCCTGGCTCTAAGGGTTTTGTTTTTGTTTTGGGAACCAGGAATTAGACTCAGGACTTCCTGCTTGCCACATAGGCACTGTGCTTCTGAGCTATGTCTCCAGCTCTTTAAGGTTTTTAAGCACTGATAAAGTGACTGGGAGTGGTGGCACACACCTGTAATCCCAGCACTCAGGAGGTTGAAGTAGAAAGATTATTGTAAGTTCCAGGCCAGCCTGGGCTACAAACTTGAGTTCAAGGCCAGCCTAAACTGTAGACTGAGATCTTGTCTAAAAAAAAAAAAAAAAAAAAAAAAAACTGATAAATTTATTGTAGGATTACCATAGATCTGGGGTGCTGTACCACAGCACCCCTTTTCCTATTTATCCTTTTTGGTTGTTTAGCTGCTGTGATGGTTCCTTCTAACTCCTTGGCATCCCTGTCTTGATTATTATAAGCTACAGTGAGATAGAACTTTTGCATCTCATGGTGCCATTGAATACACATAGGCCACCTGAAAGATGGACCACACTTTTGTTTTGATCTTTGACTTCTTTCAGACCCCTCAAGATCCAAGCTGAAAGCTAGATGCAGTAGTAGATGCCTGTATTTGTAGCACTCAGGAAGTTGAGACAGGAAGATTGCAAGTTCAAAGCCAGCCTGGGCTCCATAGTGAGACCCTATCTCAAAATATAAAAGATTCAAGGTGAAAATTGTGGTCAGAAATATATGTCAACTGTGACATTTTCTACAGCTGTCTGTTCTCCCTCATTAAGAGACTGACATTACTCACCTTAGAAACACCATAAATGGCAAAAGTGACAGACCCCCAAAGCCACTTGAAGCCCCTTCAGGCAGAACACAAGGAGAATACTACTGGTCTTCTGACCTACTTTTACTGGGATCACTCCTTCTTTTTTTTTTTTTTTTTTTAATGGGGGAAAGGTTTATTGGTCTTACACTTTGTAACAATTTCAGTCCATAGTCATCTGGCTCCAAGACAGTGTGGCCTGGCAAAGGGACATCACAGAGGAGAAAGAGTTCATGGCAGAGCAGGGCAGACAGAAGGCAGCAAGCAGCAAGCAAGCAACAGTGGAACCCTCTTTCTGTCCCTTATGTTTTATACAGATTATCCATCCTAATGGAGGGTAGCATCATAGCCTTAACCTCACCACTGCATCCTTAATCCCAGCAACACACAGCCTAGATCTGGCCATTACCACAAAGGCCTACCAATGACTGCATAAGGCTTTAGAGAAATACTGGATACTAACTGTAACAGACCACTTAGAGATTTTTAAACCCTTACTTGAATGCAGTAAGGATGTGCATGTTTATTATAAGTGATAAGCTAAACACTTGGTACTGGTTATAGGAAACGAGTTCCAAAAAATATTATTGCCATTGAAATTATCTATAAATATCACTTTATGAAATGATATTTATATAAATACATAGCATTTATATAAAACTAGTATTATTTAAAACTAGTATATGCTGAACAGGTAAAAAATATAAGTAGAAAATCAGTATGGAAAAGTGACAATTGGTGGAAGAATTTCCATTTTCTATATATTTTTAAGATACACATTTAAAAATTTAATCTCGGAATCACTCCTTCTTGGAAAACTGATTTTACCCTATTTATGAGATTTTTGGTAGATGGACACCTGCAATTTGATGGTGGGAAGCATGGCTAGTCTTTTGCTGATCTTTTTTTCTGAGGGTGGTTGTCAGTGTTGTCTGGTAGAAAAGCTCCATATCTCTGGTTGCATTTGACCTCCTCCCTGGAAGTGGACTGTGCCAAAGTATTGGCAGTGCCCTCTGCTGGCAACATGCTGCTGGAAGTCCATGTTTGCTATGAACGGTGACTTCACAGAACAAGGTGACAGTAAACTTGTATTTCACATTCCTATTTTTGCACTTATTATATGTTCTAAAGTACAGTAGATAATATGATCATTGGAACAGATAGTAGGGTCTATGGCCATTTTTTTTTGTTTTGTTTTAGACAGGGTCTTGCTATGCAGCTTAGTCTAGCCAAACTTCTAACACCACCCAGCTTGTAGCTCTTTCTCTCTCTCTCTCTTTCTTTTTTTTTCTTGTAGTTCTTTTGATACAAGGGGGAACAGAGCAAACAGAATTCCCTGAGCTTTACTCTAAGCTGCCCTTTCCTTTCTACCTTGAGGAAATCTCCCATGTTCTCTTTGCTCCAAAATACATTGGAAGAATCCTCCCTTTCTGTTTAGCTTCAAAGATACAGTTCTTTTTTCTTTTTTGGAAATACTGGAATCAAACCCAGGGCCTTATACATGCTAGGCAAGCATTCTACCACTGAACTTTACTACTCTCCGCAAAGATACAGTGTTGAGTCAACTTTAATCAAGTTTGTTTGTTTATTTGTTTGTTTATTTCTGGGACTCAAACTCACAACCTCATGCTTGCCAAGTGGATGCTGTGTTGCTGAGCTATATTCCTGGCCCTCATCAAGTTCTTTTAAATGCTTCTTAAACCCAGGTTGTACAGACAGCATTGTCAGAAACACAGGATCCTGAAGAGGTCTCAGTCACTGTCAAAGCCTTTATGACAGCTGACTTGCCTAATGAACTAATTGAGCTACTAGAGAAGATTGTTCTGGATAACTCTGTCTTCAGCGAGCACAGGTAAGGGTGTGCTGGGATGGCAGTGGCTGTGGTTAGATTCAGGCAGCTGCTGGATGTTCACACTCAGGATATGTTGTCTTCTCTCATCCATCTGTCCTTAGCTGTACTCCAGGCTTCTTACTAACTTTTATGTCTTCAATGCAAGCTTCCCTTCTCCTGTTTAAATCCTGCTGTCTCTTAGAGCCCAGCCAGAATTTTGCTTTTCCCAGAAGTCTTTATTCTTCTTATTGTTCTGGCCTACAATGCTCTGAAACCACAAAGCTTAGAGAAGAAGAGCCATTTGATAGGGGTTTGTTGTATTCCAAGTATGTGTTAAATACTTGAAATCATAGTGAACCAAGAAAACTTGGAAAGAAGTAGCAAGATCAGAATTGGGTACATAAATAAGGGAGATTTGGCAGAAATAGGACATAGAAACTAAAATATGTGGAAACTGTACTGGCAGAAGCAGCAACAAGACAAACGTCCTAGGGTCAGAGAGTGTGTTTCCTCATGGTATCAGCTAACATGTTGCCACTTCAGAGTTCAGCAACAGAGTGCCAGGTGTGGCACACTTCTAATCGCAACATTCTAGAAACCAATGCAAGAGGATTGCTATGAGTTCAAGGCTGGTCTGTGCTACATAGTGAGTTTAAGACCAGCCTGCACTACATAGCAAGATCATATCTCAAAAAAAAAAATCATCATCATAGTCTGTACCAGGTTATAGTGTGTTAACATCATAAATCCTGCTGTACAGATTTAATTGTAAGATTTATTTTGTAGATGAGAAAGGCTTTTGAGGGCTGTGGTATTGTAAAAGGGGTTGGAAGTTTGATTTTAAGTTTAGAGAAACTGTATAGTAAATTATGGGATGTATGTCTACTATGTATTTTAGTAGAGTCATAAGCTGATTGTAAGTAGGGTGCCTGAGGTAACAAGAGTGTTCTGCCTGCTGTCTGACATACCTCTTCTGATAGACGTTAGCTTGCGTGTACTTCCAATCACTTACATTGAGGTGGCTCTGACTGCTACCTGTTGGACACGGCTGCTTCTTACTCATGTAGGAGGTCTTTGGAGTTTTTGTTCTTATTTTCAGTGAGTGTTTAACCAGACATAGTTTCATGTGTAGGTAAAAATGGCCTGCACTGACGGTGACAGACCAGATGCCTGGAAACCCAGATAAATCCTATCACTGGAAAAGTCTAAATTTTGAATAAATTATAAATTATCTTTTGAAATGAAGCAGTGAGCTTGCAACTAAGTCTGAGAATAAAAAATGAGAGGAGCTTATAGAACAATCTAACTATTGCCAGATTCTATTGAACCCAAGCTGTGATTCTCCTGTGCAGGCCAAGGAAACAAACCCTGAAGGCTTACAAAAAGTGTAACATCTAGTAAGAAGCCCCTCCTTATGTTGCCCCTCCTTATGTTACCCCTCCTTACATTAGATGTATATGGATCTTTCTCTTTCTTTCTTTCTTTCTTTCTTTCTTTTTTTTAGTACAGGGTCTCACTACACAGATCAGACTCATAATGATCCTTCTGTTTTCAGCCTCCCAGGCACTTCAAAGTTGTATGAATGTATATGGATCTTTCATTCTAGTTAAGTGTTTATAAAATCTGAGTGCCATAGAGAACCAAAACCATGAATATGCCTTTTATAAAACACATTTAAAATATAAGGTTAATGATAAGCTGAAAATAAAAGAACTTAAAAAGCAAATGCCATACTTAAAAATGCTGGTATACTTACTAATGAGAATTAGAAAATAGACTTTAAGGGCTGGCCAAATAGCTCAGTGGATTAAAGTGCCTGCAAGCAGGTGCAGGGGTCAGGGGTTCAATCCCCAGGCCTGCCATGCCGGCCCCACCCCTGGGGCACACTGAGACAGCAATTGAGACTGGGTGTGGTGGCGTACACCTGAATCCCAGCTCTTTGGAGGCTGTAAACAGGCCGATCACTATAAGTCCGATCTAGTAGTAAGGAGACTCTGAGCATCCTGTACACACTTCCCTAAAAAATACAAAAAAAGAAAGAAAAGAAACTTTAAGATCAAAAGCATTTTTTTTTTTTTTTTTTTGGCGGAACCAGGGATTGAACTCAGCCCCTTGCATTTGCCAGGGAAGCGCTTATTCCACTGAGCCATCTCCCCAGCCCCTCAAAAGCATTATTGAGTAGAAGACCAAGTGCATAGTGGTGAAAGAGTTTCCTTCATAAAGGAGGTAATTTTGAACTTACATTTGCCTAATAATGTAGCCTAAAATATATAAAGAGAAGCTTAATCACAAGGAGACCGGCAGAATCGTATTAGGCAATTTTAGCACACCTCTCCAAATAATTGATAGAGTAGTTAACTTTTTAAAGGCAATAAATATATTTAAAAATATATATTAATGGGCTGGTGAGATGGCTCAGTGGTCTAAAGCACCTACTTAGAACAAGCTTAGCAAAGCACAGGGACCTCGGTTCAATCCCCCAGCACCACATGC